AGGAGGGGGGCTGTCGGCGGCTCGAGCGGCGAGGCGTGCCACTCTGCTTCGCCGCCGACAGCCCCTCTTTCCGACCGGCGCGTGGCGACGAGCCGCGGCCAGTGTCGCTGGTTCCTTTGGCGGCGCAGCGTTTATCCCCCCCACCCGCGCCCGCCCGCCCGACCGCCCGCCCGCCCTCAGGCCTTGCCCCTTCGCAGGCGCGGGAGCGCTCGCCGGCGAGCACCTCCTACCTCTCCTCGCCCGGCTGCTCCCTTGCCCCGTCGCCCGCCGCGCCCTCGCCCGGCCTCAAGAGCTTGGCGGCCTTTGTCCGCCAGCTCAAGGCGTGGGACGAGGCGTGCGCCGACGGCCGCTCGTCGTGCTGGTTCGAGACGGAGGGCGACCTCCCGCGGCTGGCCGGGGAGGCGCTGCTGGCCGAGGCGGCCGCGACGGGCGCGAGGCGGATCGCCTTTGACGCCGTCGCGGCGCGTCTCGAGGCGACCGCGGCGCCGCCGCCGCCTCTCGGCACCGCCTTGGCCGCGTGGCCCACGGGATGGGGCATCGAGGAGGGCAACTTCTGCGGGCTGGCGCACTGGGCTGTGGAGGTGTGGCACGCGGCCGGGTCGGTCGACGCGAGCCGGTGGCAGGTCGAGGCTGACGGAGGGCGCCTCTTCTTTGTGCGGGTCGCGGAAAAGGCCGCATAATCGCGCTCTCCGCCGAGGCCCGCCTCGGCGACGGCGCTCGCCGCGCAGCAGCAGCAGCAGTAGCAGCAGCAGCAGCAGCACGTGATTCTTGACACATGATTACACTACACAGTCCTCCCTTCGGTTGTCGTTTCGACCCTGTTTTTTTCTTCTATCGCAGCGCACTCGCATCTGTGAGCCTAGCGCAGCGCGAACTCGCCGTCTGAGCCTAGCGCAGCGCGAACTCGCTCTGAGCCTAGCGCAGCGCCTCGGAAAACACCATTTTGGCTCGCCAACAAGCCCTCCGCGCCCCCACACCGTTAGGATAATACATTTTTTCTCGACGCCGCCAGGTGTATTTTATTTTTGCTTGGGGCGGCACTCATGCTGAAATTCTGGAAAAACCTGAGCGGCCCCTGCGGTGCCCCTATCTACCTACCTACCTACCTACCCTACTTATGGGAAACTAAAAAAGAAATCACCGGATGGGTGAAGGTGGGGTACTATACCAACTGAAGTGATGGTTGGTGGTACTCTCCTGCAACCACAGTCCTTCCTGTGACATGGCAGGCCACTCTCAGGCCCTACAAAGCATCAGATCACCCACTTGGGGAGGGTTGACATCGTAATTTCCGCGGAAAATTTCTTTTTCTGCTGTGAAAATTCCGGTGTGAAGAGAGGGAAAAACCCGAGGGGAGGGCCCAGACCTACCCTACCTACCCCGGCATGAGTGCCGCCCAAGCAAAAATAAAATACACCTGACGCCGCCGGTTCAGAGACAAGAGACGAGGGCAGCCGGTTGCTGAAGGGAAGGCCCGGGGGGGCGCTCCAAATGGCGGAGCCCGACCCCCCGCGTGAGGAGGCTGGGCCGGAGTTCGCTCGCGGCCTCTTCGATTCGCTTGTACTCGGCACCCGGCTCGGCAACGAGCTCCCTACCGCCGAGCAGCGCGGCTACGCCGAAACCTTTCCGCCCTTCAACCAAGCGATGGCTCTGTCGGGTGGGCAGCTAAGCGGGATGATCTCTGGCTTCATGGGGCAGCAGGCGCAGCAGGCCGCCGCCGAGCGCTTCGGCCAGCTCGAGGACGCTTCCGACCGCTTCGAGTCAGTCGTCGGCCTCTCGGACCGGCTCCTCGAGCGGGTGGACTCGGACCTGGACGCGGCGCGAGGGCTGAAGAACCACGCGGTGGTTGACGCGGCCGGGCCCGGGTGGCGGCGGCGGCGGCGCCCT